TAATACCTTTTTCTTTCATAGATTTCTTTGCCTCTTACATATCTTCAGGACTGAGAAATAGAATACCCCTCTTCTTCGGAGTTGGTTTGGGAATAGGCTCAGGAATTGGCTCCAGAGGTGTCCAGTTATTTTCATTTGTCAACATATTATTCAATAGAATTTCAGCTTCATCCGGTGTTCTTTCCCTGAAATCAGATCCAGCACAACTATCCAGGTAATCTCTGGAGGCATCGGTTAGTCCATTATAAAAGATATCAAGTATTTCATTTTTCTTAAGAGGATGATCAGGCAAAGCATTAAGTAATTGGAGAAGCCTCCCCCAAGCTTGTGGGAACTCTCTTCTTCAATTTGCGCAAAATTATATATATCCCTTAAAGCAGCTTGTTTCTTATGAGCAGGGAAATATTTAGCAGAGAAGTAATAAATCATATCCTGGGGACTACGCACACAACCAGGATCAAGAGAATTAAACCATATCTTAGCATCACCCTTTAATGAGAACGGAAATATTTTAAGGATATAAAAGTAGCGAGTTCTCTCATCATTAGTGAACAGGGTAGCTATATCATTTAATTTAGTAAGATGTGCCACAACAGTTTCAGATTCATAGCCATGAAAAGGATCAGATTCAACCAAAGTAATTATATCATGATCAACAGAGAATTCATAATCCTTATCAGTAACACAGATAGGTGAAGTAGCAAAAGCAGGGCCAGGTTTCATTCTAGCATTTAGAGATTGCTGATTCCACTTAGCTAATAACCTCTTGAGTTCATATCTATCTTTGCAAGCTAAAATAGCTAAAGAAGCTTCTTTATCAAAAACATAACCCTTAGGAATAACAGGCAAGTCTTCATCGTCACTTTCATCAGTATTATCAGATTCAATATTTTCAATCTCTCTAGCCCTAGCAAGTTGTTAGTCAAGAAATTCACCAAGTGGCACAGTAGTATCAAGCATAGAAGTAGTTTCATCATAAGTATCATGTATAGAAGAAGTGGCATCATCAATAACATGCGACATATCAGAACGAATAGCAGAAGCAGGTTTAGGTGTCGCAAGCTTACTCAAAACAGAAGGTGAATCAAGTGCAGAGCTAGATGACAGTTCCTTACCTCCCCTCGTAGTTGAGGGATAAATCTTGGTTCTTGGATATTTCAAGTTCTTCATGATGATAAGCAGATATAAATCCCAAGTGACTCAAAGAATAGAGCTATGCTCCCCGGCAACGGCGCAAGAGAATAGTCTTGATAACCCGCAAGTATAGGGGATAGCAACAGTTTTCGAGGGTAAAGTATTCAACCCAAATTTATTGATTCGACACAAGGGGGGCCAAAGAATACTCTCAAGTATTAGCAGCTGAGTTGTCAATTCAACCACACCTGGAAACTTAATATCTGCAGCAAATTATTTAGTAGCAAAGTAATATGATAGTAGTGGTAACGGTAGCAAAAGGTAACAGTAGTAAAAGTAATGTTTTTGGTATTTTGTAGTGATGATAGCAATAGCAACGGGAAAGTAAATAAGCGAAGAACAATATATGGAAAGCTCGTGGGCAATGGATCAGTGATGGAGAATTATGCCGGATGCGGTTCATCATGTAACAGTCATAACCTAGGGTGACACGGAACTAGCTCCAGTTCATCAATGTAATATAGGCATGTATTCCGAATATAGTCATACGTGCTTATGGAAAAGAACTTGCATGACATCTTTTGTCCTACCCTCCCGTGGCAGCGGGGTCCTTACGGAAACTAAGAGATATTAAGGCCTCCTTTTAATAGAGTACCGGAACAAAGCATTAACACATAGTGAATACATGGACTCCTCAAACTACGGTCATCACTGGTAAGTATCACGATTATTGTCACTTCGGGGTTAACGGATCATAACACATAATAAGTGACTATAGACTTGCAAGATAGGATCAAGAACTCTCGTATATTGATGAAAACATAATAGGTTCAGATATGAAATTATGGCACTCGGGCCCTAGTGACAAGCATTAAGCATAGCAAAGTCATAGCAACATCAATCTCAGAACATAGTGGATACTAGGGATCAAACCCTAACAAAACTAACTCGATTACATGATAGTTCCCATCCAACCCATCACCGTCCAGCAAGCCTATGATGGAATTACTCACGCACGGCGGTGAGCATCATGAAATTGGTGATGGAGGATGGTTGATGATGACGATGGCGACGGATTCCCCTCTCCGGAGCCCCGAACGGACTCCAGATCATCCCTCCCGAGAGGTTTTAGGGCTTGGCGGCGGCTCCGTATCGTAAAATGCAATGAATTCTTCTCTCTGATTTTTTGTCCCCGAAACACAATATATAGAGTTGGAGTTGGAGTTGGAGGAGCTCCAGGGGGGCCACGAGGTAGGGGGGCAGGTGCGCCCCCACCTTCGTGGACAGGTGGTGGGACCCCTGGCCTTCATCTTTTGCAGGTATTTTTTTATATTTTCCAAAAAGTTGCTCCGTGAAGTTTCAGGTCATTCCGAGAACTTTTGTTTCTGCACATAAATAACACCATGGTAATTCTGCTGAAAATAGCGTCAGTCCGGGTTAGTTCCATTCAAATCATGCAAGTTAGAGTCCAAAATAAGCGCAAAAGTGTTTGGAAAAAGTAGATACGACGGAGACGTATCACCCCACGATCCCGCTTGCAAACCCTTGTCTGATACGCCTGTTTGCACCCTCTTGGGTGAAGCGATCAACAAAATGGGAAATTTAGCAGGCTCACGGCCAGCCGGTTTGCACTTGGTTGCGTGATCCACCCGTTTACACCCCTTGCATGCCGGTATCGGCAAAAAGGAAAATACAAAAAGCCCACGGTCCGTCGGTTTGCACCTCGTTGTGTGATACGCCCATTTGCACTCCCTTGTGCGGCGGTATCGACAAAAAGGGAAATCTAACAAGCCCACGGCCGTCAATTTTGCACCCATTTGTGTGATCCACCCATTTCCACCCCCTTGCATGGCGCTATCGGCAAAAAGGGAAATATAACAAGCCCATGGCCCGTCGGCTTGCACCCCTTTGCACGATCCACCTGTTTGCACCCCTTTGTGTGATCCACACGTTTAGACCCCCTTGCGTGATGTTATCGGCAAATAGGGAATATAACAACCCCCGACCCGTTGGTT